AAATATGTAATTGCTCAATAATGAATAATAAATAAATAAATAAATAAATAAATAAATAAATTCGGTGATCGTTTCCTGTTTTGACCGAGTTGATCACAGAGACATCGTTGAGTTAGTAAATTATTGCAAAGAACTGATACTGAACATATCAAATAAACAAACCTTGTGTCAATTAATATTTTGTTTTATTTAGAGCTGATTTTTCAATCGTTGGATAACTCTTAACTGAAGAATAATTTTGGCATATTGATAGTTTCAGTATGGGAAATATGTCAAAATGACAAATTTATTTGTCAGTTAAAAGTTATTTGATAATAAAAAATCAGCCCTTAGAAGATAAATTAATTTAGGTTAGGTACCTACTTACTATTCCTCCGCAAAATAACTTTATTAATTATACAAAATTTGCTAACTTTAGCTTAATCCCGGAAATATCGAAAATACCGGATTACCGGTATTGGTTTAGAGCCAATACCGAAAATACCGGTTTTGCTGAAATGATTCGGTATTGCGACCCCTAGCGGGCCCGTGTTGAACTGGCTGCAGATGGACAACAAAGGTCACCTTATTGTGACTGGGATAGAGTACATTATGGTCTGCTAAGTTTTGGATAATATTCGAACGGCTTACCAAGTGGTGGCAACGATACCTCTTGGTTAGCTCTGGGCGCCTGGTACTTTAGTGTGAGCGTCAAGGGCGTCTTTCCGCCTCTCTCTTTTTTTAATTCTGTCTCTCTCTCTTTCTCCATCACACACTCATTATGGTCTGCTAAGAAGTTGTGGATATGAGAAGGTAGAGATTACTCTTGCATAGCTCTAAGCGCCTGGTACATTGACGCGCTGCTAGTTGGATCCTCTACGTTTTCTCCCTCTTTCTTTTTCCTTTTCTCTCTCTCTCGTACTACGCTCACCTGTCCACCATCGTCGACTCGCTCAACTGCGGGCCCGTGTTGATCTGGCTGCAGATGGACAATAAGGGTGAGGAACTTACTACTATCGGTATAAGGGTGATAATCGCACGGTCAAGTCCATGAGGCAGCGATTACTCTTGGGTAGCCCTGAGCGCCTGGTACATTGACGCATTGCTAGTTGGACCATCTCCGCTCTCTCTCTTTCTTTCTTTTTGCCTCACTCTCCGTCGTATTGCCTCCCCAACACGACGAGCACTACCACCGGGGTCCATAGCGCACTACGCGCACCACCTCGACGACTCGCTCACTACGGGGCTGCGGGCCCGTGCTCAACTGGCTGCAGATGGACAACAAAGGCCTTATTGTGACTGGGATAAGGGTGATATTGGCACCACAATTCGCTCGGTCTTGCAGGAGACAGCGATACCTCTTGGTTGACTCTGGGCGCCTGGTACATTGACGCTCACACTCTTCTTCTTTCCCCCTCTCTCTTTTTTAATTCCTATCTCTATATCTCTCTATCTTTCTCCGTCACACACACATTATGGTCCGCTAAGTTGTGGCTATGAGAAGGCAACGATTACTATTGGATAGCTCTGGGCGCCTGGTACATTGATGACGCACACTTCTTTCCCTCTCTTTTTCTATCTGTCCCTCTCTTTCTCCGTCACATACTTATCATGGTATGTTATGTTGTAGCATGAGAAGGTAGAGATTACTGTTGGATAGCTCTGAGTGCTCTGGGCGCCTGGTACATTGACGCGCTGCTAGTTGGACCCTCTCCGTTCTCTCCTTCTCTTTCTTTTCCCTTTTCTCTCTCTCGTTCTCTCGTACTACGCTCACCTGTCCATCATCGCCGACGACTCGCTCAACTGCGGGCTCGTGTTGAACTGGCTGCAGATGGACAATAAAGGTAAGGACCTTTATACTACCGGGAGAAGGGTGATATTGGCACTACAATTCGCACGGTCTAGCAAGAGGCAGCGGTACCTCTTGGCCAGCACTGGGCGCCTGGTACTTTGAGTTTAGAATAGGGGAAATACTAGACCCAGAAAGCAGTTTCTTGAATTACTTTTGACAGATGTCTCTGGGCGCCTGGTACATTGACGCTCACACTCTTCTTTTCTCCTCTCTTTTTTTTTATTCTATCCGTCTCTCTCTCTTTCTCCATCACACACTTATCATGGTATGTTAAGTTGTAGCTATGAAAAGGCAGAGATTACTCTTGGCTAGCTCTGGGCGCCTGGTACTTTGACGCTCACAAGAGTGTGAGCGTCAAGGGCGTCTTTCCGCCTCTCTCTTTTTTTAATTCTGTCTCTCTCTCTTTCTCCATCACACACTCATTATGGTCTGCTAAGAAATTGTGGATATGAGAAGGTAGATATTACTCTTGCATAGCTCTAAGCGCCTGGTACATTGACGCGCTGCTAGTTGGATCCTCTACGTTTTCTCCCTCTTTCTTTTTCCTTTTCTCTCTCTCTCGTACTACGCTCACCTGTCCACCATCGTCGACTCGCTCAACTGCGGGCCCGTGTTGATCTGGCTGCAGATGGACAATAAGGGTGAGGAACTTAATACTATCGGGATAAGGGTGATAATCGCACGGTGAAGTCCATGAGGCAGCGATTACTCTTGGGTAGCCCTGAGCGCCTGGTACATTGACGCATTGCTAGTTGGACCATCTCCGCTCTCTTTCTTTCTTTCTTTCTGCCTCACTCTCCGTCGTTTTGCCTCCCCAACACGACGAGCACTACCACCGGGGTCCATAGCGCACTACGCGCACCACCTCGACGACTCGCTCACTACGGGGCTGCGGGCCCGTGCTCAACTGGCTGCAGATGGACAACAAAGGCCTTATTGTGACTGGGATAAGGGTGATATTGGCACCACAATTCGCACGGTCTTGCAGGAGACAGCGATACCTCTTGGTTGACTCTGGGCGCCTGGTACATTGACGCTCACACTCTTCTTCTTTCCCCCTCTCTCTTTTTTTAATTCCTATCTCTATATCTCTCTATCTTTCTCCGTCACACACACATTATGGTCTGCTAAGTTGTGGCTATGAGAAGGCAACGATTACTATTGGATAGCTCTGGGCGCCTGGTACATTGATGACGCACACTTCTTTCCCTCTCTTTTTCTATCTGTCCCTCTCTTTCTCCGTCACATACTTATCATGGTATGTTATGTTGTAGCATGAGAAGGTAGAGATTACTCTTGGATAGCTCTGGGCGCCTGGTACATTGACGCGCTGCTAGTTGGACCCTCGCCGTTCTCTCCCTCTTTCTTTTCCCTTTTCTCTCTCTCGTTCTCTCGTACTACGCTCACCTGTCTATCATCGCTGCCTCGCTCAACTGCGGGCCCATGTTGAACTGGCCACAGATGGACAATAAAGGTGAGGACCTTAATACTACCGAGAGAAGGGTGATATTGGCACTACAATTCGCACGGTCTAGCAAGAGGCAGCGATACCTCTTGGCCAGCTCTGGGTATATTTTGTTCCTCCTTCTTCTCTTTCTTTTGCCATTTTTCTCTCTCTTCGCACTACGCTCATCACCTGTCCATCATCGCCGACGACTCGCTCAACTGCGGGCCCGTGTTGAACTGGCTGCAGATGGACAATAAAGGTGAGGACCTTAATACTACCGTGAGAAGGGTGATATTGGCACTACAATTCGCACGGTCTAGCAAGAGGCAGCGGTACCTCTTGGCCAGCACTGGGCGCCTGGTACTTTGAGTTTAGAATAGGGGAAATACTAGACCCAGAAAGCAGTTTCTTGGATTACTCTTAAATGTCTCTGGGCGCCTGGTACATTGACGCTCACACTCTTCTTTTGTCCTCTCTTTTTTTTTATTCTATCCGTCTCTCTCTCTTTCTCCATCACACACTTATCATTGTTAAGTTGTAGCTATGAAAAGGCAGAGATTACTCTTGGATAGCTCTGGGCGCCTGGTACATGACGCGCTTTGTATAAGTTTTTCCTCTTCCCTCACTCTCTTTTTCCTTTTCTCTCTCTCGTTCTCTGATACTATGCCCACCACCTGTCCATCATCGCCGACGACTCGCTCAACTGCGGGCCCGTGTTGAACTGGCTGCAGATGGACAATAACGGTGACCTTATTGTGACTGGGATAAGGGTGATATTAGCTTGTAGGCATTTGGCAGACGCAGGTATTGATACTTCTTGGCTAGCTCTGGGCGCCTGGTACTTTAGTGACTGGAATAGGGTTGATTATGGCAGCTGGGAAGCAGCGATTTATTTACTCTTTTGAGTATCTATAGACGCTCTTCTTTCCCTCTCTCTTTCTTCGTCATCTATATACATATACAGTGTGAGTCACGTTAAAGTGTACATATGAAAATAGATGAAACTAGACCTATTTTTATCGACAAAAAAGTGGTCAAAAATTTTTTGAGATTTTTTTTAAATTTTTTATAGATTGTTTTTCCTTTCAAGTACTTATTGTAAAGAAAACGTAATAACTTTTAAACTAAGAGGTATATCCTGATAAAATAAAAACAGTAATAATGCTAAATAACAGACGATACTAAAAAAATACATAAAATCCTCAGAAAATGCCAACAAATAATAAAAAACGATACTTTTTGAAAAAAATCTGCTTAAAAATTCGTGTTTTTTTGGTTATTTGATAAATTTCTCCAAAAAATGCCCCTATAAAAGGTGGTTTTTATTACTCTGAATTATTCTCTATCGTATTACCTTTGTTAAAGCCAAAAATCGCATGTCTCTATCCCTTTCACAACATTTGCTATGATCGTTTGAACTAAGCCTCTCCGGGCGCGCCATTCAACGCTTCGCTAACAACGAAACTGAAAATGGCTCTAGATTTGTAATTTTGATAAAGACAAGTTAGATTTCAAGTAAAAACAAAAGATTTCGAAGTAAAATAAGCATTGTAGTTAAAATTAAAATTGTCCCTACCTGTAGAGGAGAATAATGTTGTGGTAGGCCTTTGTTCAAACTATCTTAGCAAATGTTGTGATAGGGATAGAGACATGCAATTTTTGGTTTTACAAAGGTAATACGATAGAGAATAATACAAAACAATAAAAACCACCTGTTACAGGGGCATTTTTTGGAGAAATTTATCAAATAACCAAAAAAACACGAATTTTTAAGCAGATTTTTTTCAAAAAGTATCATTTTTTTATTATTTGTTGGCAATTTTTGTGTATTTTATGTATTTTTTTAGTATCGCTTGTTATTTAGCATTATCACTGTTTTTATTTTATCAGGATATACCGCTTAGTTTTATAAGTTATTACGTTTTCTTTACAATACGTATGTAATTGGAAGAAAAAAAATTCTATAAAAAATTTAAAAAAAATCTCAAAAAAATTTTGACCTCTTTTTTGTCGATAAAAATAGGTCTAGTTTCATCTATTTTCATATGTACACTTTAACGTGACTCACACTGTATAAAAGAAAGTCTTGTTAGTTACTCCACTTATAACTCAAGAACGGCTGAACCGATTTAGCTGAAAATTGTCAGGAAGGTAGTTTAGAGCCAGGAGAAGGACATAGGATACTGTTTATCCCGTTCGACAGCATTCCCGTGTGACTTGACATGAAACGTCAGTCACTATAAAACGTGGTATAACAAAAAATAATCAGACTTGGAATAAAAAAACCACGCGGGCGAAGCCGCGGGCGGAAAGCTAGTTTACACTATGATCCGCTAAGCTGCGACTATGAGAAGGTAGCGATTACTCTTGGGTAGCTCTGAGCGCCTGGTACATTGACGCATTGCTAGTTGGACCATCTCTGCTCTCTTTCTCTCTCTCTCTCTCTCTCTCTCTTTCTCTCTTTCTTTCTTTCTTTCTTTTTGCCTCACTCTCCGTCGTTTTGCTTCCCCAACACGACGAGCACTACCACCGGGTCTATAGCGCACTACACGCACCACCTCGACGACTCGCTCACTACGGGGCTGCGGGCCCGTGATCAACTGGCTCCAGATGGATAATAAAGGTGACCTTATTGTGACTGGGATAAGGGTGATATTGGCACCCCAATTTGTACGGTCTAGCAAGAGGCAACGATACCTCTTGGTCAGCTCTGGGCGCCTGGTATGTTGTGTCTAGAATAGGGGCAATACTAGACCCAGAAAGCAGTTTCTTGGATTACTCTTGGGTATCTCTGGGCGCCTGGTACATTGACGCACACTCTTATTTCCCTCTCTTTTTCTATTCGTCCCTCTCTTTCTTCGTCACACACTTATCATGGGATGTTATTTTGTAGCATGAGAAGGTAGAGATTCCTCTTGGTCAGCTCTAGGCGCCTGGTACTTTTTGTCTAGAATGGGGGCGATATTGGCAGACGAAGACTCTTGGGTATTTTAGGCGCCTAGTACATGTCACGCGTGGTATATGTTGTTCCTCCTTCTTCTCTTTCTTTTTCCTTTTCTCTCTCTCTTCGCACTACGCTCATCACCTGTCCATCATCGCCGACAACTCGATCAACTGCGGTCCTGTGTTGAACTGGCTGCAGATGGACAATAGAGGTGACCTTATTGTGACTGTGATAAGGGAGAGATGTTAGCATGTAGGCATTTGGCAGACGCAGGTATTGATACATCTTGGCTAGCTATGGGCGCCTGGTACTTTAGTGTCTGGAGTAGGGGTGATAATGGCAGCTGGGAAGCAGCGATTTATTTACTCTTGAGTATCTATAGACGCTCTTCTTTCCCCCTCTCTTTCTTTTCCTATTCGTCCCTCTCTTTCTTCGTCATACCGTGGTGTGTTATGTTGTAGCATGAGAAGGTGGAGATTACTCTTGGATAGCTCTGGGCGCCTGGTACATTGACGCGCTGCTAGTTGGACCCTCTCCGTTCTCTTCTTCTCTTTCTTTTCCCTATTCTCTCTCTCGTTCTCTCGTACTACGCTCACCTGTCTATCATCGCTGCCTCGCTCAACTGCGGGCCCATGTTGAACTGGCCACAGATGGATAATAAAGGTGAGGACCTTAATACTACCGGGAGAAGGGTGATATTGGCACTACAATTCGCACGGTCTAGCAAGAGGTAGCGGTACCTCTTGGCCAGCACTGGGCGCCTGGTACTTTGTGTTTAGAATAGGGGCAATACTAGACCCAGAAAGCAGTTTCTTGGATTACTCTTAGATGTCTCTGGGCGCCTGGTACATTGACGCTCACACTCTTCTTTTCTCCTTTCTTTTTTTTTTAATTCTATCCCTCTCTCTCTCTTTCTACATCACACACTTGTCATGGTATGTTAAGTTGTAGCAATAGCTATGAAAAGGCAGAGGAGATTACTCTTGGATAGCTCTGGGCGCCTGGTACATTGTCGCTCACACTCTTCTTTTCTCCTCTCTCTTTTTTTTAATTCTATCCCTCTCTCTCTCTTTCTCTATCACACACTTATCATGGTATGTTTAGTTGTAGCAATAGCTATGAAAAGGCAGAGATTACTCTTGGATAGCTCTGGGCGCCTGTTACTTTTTGTCTAGAATGGGGGCGATATTGGCAGACGAAGGTAAATAAAACGCCTAAAATACCCAAGAGTTTACCTCTTGGGTATTTTAGGCGCCTAGTACATGTCGCGCGTGGTATATGTTGTTCCTCCTTCTTATCTTTCTTTTTCCTTTTCTCTCTCTCTTCGCACTACGCTCATCACCTGTCCATCATCGCCGACAACTCGATCAACTGCGGTCCTGTGTTGAACTGGCTGCAGATGGACAATAGAGGTGACCTTATTGTGACTGTGATAAGGGAGAGATGTTAGCATGTAGGCATTTGGCAGACGCAGGTATTGATACATCTTGGCTAGCTCTGGGCGCCTGGTACTTAAGTGTCTGGAATAGGGGTGATAATGGCAGCTGGGAAGCAGCGATTTATTTACTCTTGAGTATCTATAGACGCTCTTCTTTCCCTCTCTCTTTCTTTTCCTATTCGTCCCTCTCTTTCTTCGTCATACCGTGGTATGTTATGTTGTAGCATGAGAAGGTGGAGATTACTCTTGGATAGCTCTGGGCGCCTGGTACAATGACGCGCTGCTAGTTGGACCCTCGCCGTTCTCTCCCTCTTTCTTTTCCCTTTTCTCTCTCTCGTTCTCTCGTACTACGCACACCTGTCTATCATCGCTGCCTCGCTCAACTGCGGGCCCATGTTGAACTGGCCACAGATGAATAATAACGGTGAGGACCTTAATACTACCGCGATAGGGGTGAGATTCGTACGGTCTACCAAGCAGAGGGAGAGATACCTCTTGGCCAGCTCTGGGCGCCTGGTACATGTCACGCGTGGTATATTTTGTTCCTCCTTCTTCTCTTTCTTTTGCCATTTCTTTCTCTCTTCGCACTACGCTCATCACCTGTCCATCATCGCCGACGACTCGCTCAACTGCGGGCCCGTGTTGAACTGGCTGCAGATGGATAACAAAGGCGACTTTATTGTGACTGGGATAAAGGTGATTTGGCACCCTGATTCGCACGGTCTAGCAAGAGACAGCGATACCTCTTGGCCAGCACTGGGCGCCTGGTACTTTGAGTTTAGAATAGGGGCAATACTAGACCCAGAAAGTTTCTTGGATTACTCTTAGATGTCTCTGGGCGCCTGGTACATTGACGCTCACACTCTTCTTTTCTCCT